CTCTCCTTTTGCAGACACTCACTTTGGCTCGCTGATACTTGCCTTTTTTGAGGCCCTGTTTTTGATTTTCCTTTTAAAACTCTGTTACCTCTTCGTTTCTGTGAGTCTGCCTTTCATACAAGGAGAGCAAGGCTTGGCTTCTCAGAGCAGTGCTTGGCAAGCACAGAGGCAGGAAACGCAGAAGGGAATGAGTCTGTCAGACTCATTTTCTTCTAGTTCAAATGTTTATTTCAGATTCGGGAGGAAGTGGAGTGGTTCCTTTCCATTTCCTCGTCTCTGGAACCTGCAAGTTGCATAAGGCTTGGAGAATCTCAATCTCCTGCACATCATACTCACACGTTCACAGATGGAGAAAGGGACTTTCAGACAACCCTGGGCTAATCAGAGCAGAATTCATGGCTTTCAGAGCCCTTCCAAGACCATCTCTGAGGGGTTTACACTGGAGGCCAGAGTAGGACAACAGAGAGCAACGTGACTGTAAGGCTGCCGGGCTCTGGAACATCCTACCCCATCTCATCGCTACTGGCATTAGTTCCCTGCCACGTGGCACACCTGAGGCCACTGCTCAGCCAGGGAGGAAATTTGACATAATTTGTGAGTGCCATCATGAGATCTGGTCCCAAGCCCACTTCCTAGGTTCCTGGGACTTACCGAGTCTGACACCAGGATGGAGTTGCAATAGCAAACTGAAAATATGTTTGTTTTAGTAATGAGCTGATATCAAGCTTAAACATGCTGACTTTTCCAATCCATACTCTCAACTTCTCTACTTGTTCCAAAACGGTAAACCAGCTCACTGTACACACCAGCTCAGCTCTGCAGCTTCCTTTATTGTCTACGCAATTGACACAGGTCATTTTAAATGCCAAATGGAGACCATCAGAAACCAAAATAGAAAATCTTGTGGTAAGTTTACTACTAAACTCTAACAGATGTGCCTGACTCTAACTGTAGGCATCAAGGCTGAAACATAATTTTAGGTACAAATTACTTAATGAGGATATTTATAGACAGAAAACTTCAACAAAGTAGCCCCCGAGATATTTAACACAGGTTACCTGAACTTTAGTGACTGATAATAAAAAAATGGTAAATACATTAATTATGGCTTGTTTAGGAAAGTTTCCAGAGCAGTGTTTGATCTAATCATGTTCATTTTCTCAGAGCTTTAAAAGATAAAAATTCTGACTCATTATCTCTATTTGTAGTTTAGACTTTTTTAGTTACACCATTATTCCATAGCCACTAGTCAATCATACTCACTAAGATTTATGTCTTCAGAACATACACACTTAAATGCAGCTATACTTTTACTCACACATATATTTACATTTATAATTCCAGTGGTACAAACTAGTTTTTATAGTATATCTATCATGGTCTTGATGAACTTCTGAAATGAACTAACCTTCCCATAGGAATTCCTCCTAATATCATTTCATTATGACACATGTGAGCTAACAGTATACTAAAGACAATACATTAGATACAATCACAATACATACTTTAGAAACAAAAAGACAAAGTTGATTTGCCATCTAATTTTTTTAAAATCTTTTTGTTGGTAACTAATTAAGGTATAGGATTGAAAGTACAGTCATGAGTCTTCAAGAACACCAGGATCAAAGGAGGAAGGAAGATAAAGAAACACTGTAAAGGTCATGAGGCAAATATTTCTACTGGAAGATCTTTTCACTAAGTACACTTAAGCAAACCATGCCAAGTCATGTACTTTTCACACACAAAATTATATTGTATCAAATTTAAATTTGTTACAACTGCCATGTACATTAAACCAGTGATAAGGAAAATGTAATTCAATATCTGATCTAGTGAAACAGCAACCACATTAGTCCCAGACACATGAAGACAATCTCCATGCCATTACTGGTGTCAGCTAAACCTCAGCCAGTTTGTCTTCTCCCGGACATTTTTAAATAAATATGTGACTATCTCAATTAGGAAATCTTGGGGGGGGGGAGTCTCTATGATGAAGCAATTTTGTTGCTCATTCTCAGCGCCCTGCATTTGCTGTACTTAAAATAGACACTTGTACCAATGTCCTTTCTATTACCCGAAGGGGAAAAAAAATCACATACACACCAGTCCTTTTTCTTTCAGCTCGCAGAGAAGCAACTTGATCCAACTAGTGTTGAAACCTGAGTAGGTCACTGTACACCACGATAAAATTCCCTAATCCCTGAGCCAAATCTCCCTAAGGGGGCCTCCTCCTGATCCTCCACTTCCCAGGCTGACTTTTCCATTCGCTCTCTCCTCTTTCCCCCTTTCATTTCCCCTACCTTCAAGCCTTGATATGTGATCCACAGTGGGGGCTCAGGTTTCCGTTTTTACAGCTTAGGCCGTGCTAGCTGTATACATTCCTTTCTTTCTGCCGGGCAGTGATTACTTACTAGGGCTTGGTTTACACTGGTCCAGATGAAAGCCGTTCAGATGAAGGCAAACACAGCCAGACAGCTCCAGCAGCACAGATATGAAGCTGCACAAGGCCACATTGTGTTCTCGGTGACATTTTGTTGCACATATTTTTATACAGGGCAACCAACTTATTATGTTACTCTACACTTCAAGTTTGGTGAATTGGAGGGGGAGTAATACCACGAGGTGTGGGGAGAGATTTCATTGATGACGTTATTAATATCAAAAGCAGAAAAATATTAACGAATTCAAAGCCCTTCCACCTTTTGACTTTGAGAAATCACTTTTAAAATAAAGGCTGTTGCTGCTATTATATTACAGGAATCCCTTCTAAACTTTTTCACTAGAAATGTAATTTCATGACTCACTGACGTGTGAGTAAGGACCTGACTGGAGATTTCAGCCAATGGTCTCCTATACATTGATCCAATCCAAAAAGAAAAGAAAAACTGACCCTACAGGCAATTGAATTATTTGTAGTGTAAAACTTCTTATTTAATGCCACTCTGTACTAAAATGATGAGGCTTGAAACTTCAAATGGTAAGTGGTGATTTGGAAGAAAAATAACATTTTAAAAGAGGAAATTCTGTGCACGAAGGTTAATTCCATACTTAGTCCTGCAGCATTGGCTAAAAATTGTGTAATTTTTCCCCTTCACACAATGTTGTTTTTGTTTCTTCCTCACTAGTTCAGACAAACATCTGTTATACTGTAGAAGGACAACTATCTCCCAAACCACCGAGTGCGCCCGCAGCCAAAGTCAACAACTTGAGCCCCAAGCATAGAGCACAGTCAGCCTTTATATCCAGCCGGGATAACATTTCACATGTTTTGATTAAAATTAGCTAATTTGTAATTCTAGAACCTATGAAACTTAAAAGCTGCCATCCATATAGATCACATTAGGCAGTGTTTTAAAGGGCCAGTGCACACAGTGATGTCCCAGTGGCTGGCCTCTCTCCTCTCCCTCCACATTCCCCATTTCCAACCCTCCCAACCCCCCATTAAAGAAAAAGGAACCCGAACACAGGGGACAGTGAGGATGAATGGTTATTGTAAACTGCTTGAATTTCACTCCCATTCGAGGGAACTCCTACTTGTCTCATTTTTGTATAACTATCACTGCAATCAATGATGGTTTCCATCACATGGAATAACACTGATTTATTTCCAAGGCAAAGCTCTTAACTCTCCTCAAACTGAAGCTGCACCTCATGCTTCCAGGCACTAAGTCCCTCATCCAGAAATAAAACTCCAAATTCCCAATTCCAGATCTCTAGACATTTTCTAGAGGAAAGGAAAGCTAAGCATATGCACTTAGGCATGGGCTTCATACAAGACACGCTCATAGAATCGACGGTTCTGCTCAAGAAAATGTCAAAACGCAATAAATTTCGGGAAGTTGCAATGCCATTTTCATCCAGTTTGTCTCTAGATTCAAACTTAACCAATAGGTTGGCAGTGTTAGTGATTCTATGTAGAAGAGGGAGAACACCAAGACGGTGTAGAATGAAAATCAAAGTACCCTGAAATCTGTCAGTTATTTGGAACTCACAAATAGAAAAATGCACTTAAAAACATTTTTTTTTAATTCAAGAGAGATTGGTGAAATCAACACAGACTACAACGCACGCCGGACAAACCTTTCAACTTCTTGAAAAATAAGGGGGAAGGGATGGGGCGAAAGGAGGCCCGGAGCTGAGCGCTACTCTTGGGCATTCGCTCCAACGCGAACAGCTGGAGCGCCAGGCGGCTGCGCTCGCCACCTCTGGAGCACCGCTGGCCTGGCGGGGAGCCCGGCCTCGCCGAGAGGACTCGGGCTGGCCTTTCGGAACAATGGGCAGGCGCTCTGCGAAGGCCGCCCCTCAGACAGCGGTCTTTGAGCGGGGCTCGCCAGGCCGGCTTAGCTGGGAAGTGAAGCATGCAAAGGCTAGCGGGAGGCGGCAGCCGAACGAGGAAAGCGCGCAGGGTCTGGCGAGGCGAGCCGACAGCAAAGCGGTACCCAGACCCGCCGCTCGGGCCGCAACTCGCCCCAGCACTGACAGCCTCTCCACGCCGTAGCCGCCAGCTACTTGGGCGGAAGCGGGATAGAGGAGCGAGGAAATGTGCTAGGAAGAGGGATGGGACAGAGCGCTCCCCGGGTGCTTTGTCGGGCGGCTCCTAACTTTGGAGGGATCTGAGGTATGGTTCCCGAAAAAGAGAAGAAAACTACCCCGCCGACTAGAAGAGCCTCTTCACTATGCCCTTCGCCACTCGGCGGCCGGTCTCCTGCCCTTGAAACGCGCCTGTGCCAACCTGGGGTTTATAAGGTTAAACAGTATGTGGTTTTCTGGCCACCCCCCCCCAACCACCACCACCCCCATCAAATCTGAGGAAGGCAAATCTCGGGGATGCAGCCCGCGAGTTGGCCTCTGTTTTGCACCTGGAGGAGGAGCTGAGGCGTTCGGGGCATCCTACAGAAACTGACAAGAGCTCCCCGGTGCCCCCCAAAGCCATACAGCGGCCCAAAGGGAGCGGGCGGAAGAAAGAGCTCCGTCTCTCCAGCCCCGAAGTCCAAAAATACCTTCATTTCCTCATTGATCTCCCTTTTCACTGGGTGAGCCGGTTTCCTGCTCCTTTTATTTTCCGGAGGTCTCCCTTCTTTCTCCATTTCTGCCATGTTTTTGTGTCTGGTTTCTGTGGAGATGAAATGGCTGCTGCCGCCGCTGGCGGTGGTGGTATCGGTGGTGGTGGTGGAGGTGGTGCTGATGATGGCAATGCTGGCGGAGGTAGCGGAGCCGGCGGGGCTGGGGCTGGGGCTGGGGCTGGGGCTGGGGGGGAGGGAAGGCAGGCGCCGGAGAAGCGGGGTCTCTTCTAGCGGCGGAGAACGTCAGTGGCTGTCAGAGGGAAAGGTAGCTCTAGGAGTCTCGGGG